ACCAGGGGCATAAAGCCCCAGACAGCATAGCTCCTAGGATCATTGGGACACTCAAACCCCTCCACCACGATAAGGTAGCAGCCCAAGGAGAGGTTTGTAAAAGCAGTAAAATTTAAATTATGTGCTAAAATGTAAAATTTGTTGGAATAAAGCTGGAAAAATAAATATGATGGTCAAATAAAAATTAAAACATGACATAAAGTTCACATTTTCAAATTAATTGGTGCATTTTAAGTATATTTATTTTTTATTGGTCCATTTTTATTTATGTATTTATTCATTCATTTATTGTACCATTGTTTAATCAGATGACAGATGTCAGTTTCAGTACTCCATAAAAATACTTCAGTACTTTAACAAAGTAAATAAAAATACAGACCTGCTCGTTCAGAACCGTCAGAGAAAATCTGAACTAATTAGTAAAGTTGATCTTTGTTTATCTTTAAGATTTCTTACAGCACTTTTGATTTGATTAGAAATATTTTATTTAAATCGTACCTCAGAGCTGTTGAGTTTTACATCAAACTTGTATTGTTGCTTTTTTAAAACTTTAAAATCAAATCCAACAAATGAAAGAGGAAAAAAAAAGAAAAAATCTGAGTTTATTTCCTCTTTGAATAAAATGAAACATTTAACTCTGCAGCTTCATGTGGAAAACTAAAACTGCCACTTTAAAATGATAAAACATGTTCAAACTAAAAACTTTATGAAAGTTAAAACAGTTTCTTGTTTTTATAAATAAAGATGAAAACAGCTACTTTCAGCTTTTACTTCTAATTCTTTTGCAGAACGTCCATAAATAATAACTCATAATTTGTGATGCTGTAGGTTTGTAAAAGTTTGTCTCCTGGACAACTCGCTTTAAAAGATTAAAAATATAATTTCTCAGGTAGATGTGGGACAAAGATCACACTGTGTGCCTCACAACAAGTATGAGTACAGTCCATTTACCAGTTTTTACCATTTAACATGCTAAGAAACTACGAGCATGATGTCATCACAATATTTTCTTTCTTGTATTAAAAGAAAAACAGGAAAACTGCTAAATTTAACAATTTTGTCGTTATTATGAAAATCAAAAAGTTTATTTCTTTGGTATTTTTGTTCAAATCTACAGAGCGTGTTGCAGAGCCTGCCTCATGACTTACATGAAATAATACTAATACATGTCCTTCATATAAATACTGTGTGGCCACAAGATAATACGTTGCCATTAGACAAATAACGCATGGCCATGAGACAATAACAATACAATGCCAAGAGATAAATATTGTGTGGCCACAAGATGACATTAGTATGTGGCCATAAGAAAAATAACAATTGGCCACAAGATGATACATGAGATAAACAACACATTACCATGAGATAANAATTTATTATTTATTTACTGTTATTTTACCAGACAAGTCCCATTGAGATTGCAGATCTCTTTTTGGCCTGGGTCATGTTTTTGTGTTGTGGGTGTAAACCGGAGTACCTGGAGAAAACCCACACAAGCACGAGGAGAACAGGAAAACCCCAAACAGAAAGACCCCAGGTCTGAACCAGGGATCGAACCCAGGACCTTCTTGCTGTGGGGCGTCGGTGCTAAGCACTGAGCCATCGTGCAGCTAAATGTTTAAGTTAAATATTTAGGTAGCTAGCTAAATATTTAAGTTAAATATTTAGTTTATGAACTGTGGCATTTATAAATATATGAATCATATGGTGAAAAACTGACTTTGAAAAATAAATCTGTTATTTTTTTCTTATAAAAGTCTAAATAAAACAAAAATATTGGTGGTAATTGTTGACTGTGTAACTTTACTAACGGCACCCACAGAGTCCCATGAAAAGCCAGTACAGCTCAGAAGCAGCTAACAGTTTGTTTATCAATCCACCAAAACTTCACTTCCAGAGCTTTGAACCAAGACTGGAAAACAGCAGGAGGGGCCGTCAGAGTGAAGAGGGGCTTCATGGACGCTGAGGTGAAAACAGCAGTGAGACTGGCTGCTAAGACAACTTAAATCTCTGGATCTGGTTATGATATCAGGATGATCCTGGTGTCAAAATGTAGCTTTTAAAGCAGGAATCTGAAATGTAATTACAGGTCATTTTGACCACATTTGACATAATTCTCATTTTGATCTGATGGGTCACATCTTGTCTTTGCAGCATTTAAGTTCAACAGAAGAGTCCTTCACTGAGCAGTGATCAGAGTTTATCCAGCAGCAGATATGGATCAGTGCTGTCTGAGATAAACTGACCTTTACAGGATGCAGGTATCCACCAGGTCGGGGGGGAAGACCATGCTCTGCCACGGACCCACCCTGGTCCAACGTCTCTGTCAGGTACGCTATGTAGTTGGTGGCCAGAACCAGAACATCCAGCTTGGAGAGCTTGGTGTCAGGTGGGACTGAAGGTAGAGCTGCCTGCAGGAAGAACTGTTCTTTATTATCAGTGGAACAATGGAATGATTTTCAAAGAGCAGCACTTGTGTATATATTATGGTGTTATATGTTCTGATTATTAAGAGCAAACATTATCTCTGACTAGATACCAGCGGTGGGCAGCGCTAATCCAAAAATTAGCTCCGCAATTTCTAAAGCGATTATGAAAATATTCAGGTCCGCAACTTCAAAACCACTTATGTCATAGATAAACTATCAGAAGCTAATTTTAAAGCACAAGTTCAATTTGACACTTACTAACAGACAACAATTCATGTACAATATATGTACAACACTGCCAACTAGTGGTGTATGAACTCTTTTACATCTTAATCCTACAACCACTGATAGCTGGGGATGTGATTTCCTGAAACAGACCTTTAGCTCCTGGTGTAAAAATTAAAAAGTTGTTGAGGATTGCTAGTTCAGCTGCTTCTTTGTCTTTTTCTTTCGTTTGCTGTAGATTTTTCATTTAAGGGGCAATATGAAGTAAAATCATCTTTTTTTAGTTTTACATCATGTTATAAAGTTATCCTCTGATAAAAACATGTCCAAAGCCTTGATCTGACTCATCCATCATGTTTGAGAAATCCTGCAGTGTTTTTATGAAGCCATGCTGAGGAGCAAAACAACAGGTGGGACCAGAAACACCTTTTGGTACCAGAAACACCTCTGGGACCAGAAACACCTTTTGGTACCAGAAACACCCCGGGACGTGTCTTTAAGCTGAACTTCCTCATGACAGAGCGCACCCCCCCCACACACACACACACACACACA